CGGTAGGGCGGGGCGGGGGGATGAGCCTGGGGCATCAAGCATCGCTCTCCAGCTTCCAAGCCTAAGGAGACTTGTTTTCTCCGTCGAGCTGAGCTGAAGACTTTTTTCCCCATGTTTATTTGAAATTTCATTTTTACAGACGAGGCAAGGAAGAACGAGAGGCGCTTCCCTCCCTGCCCCTCCCAGGAGAATCCCAGAACCGCTTCGTCTGGGCAGAGCATGGCCGGGCTCCCTGGCCGCCGGGGCCCCCGCACTCACGCGCAGACCGGGTCCCTTGCAATATGGATCCCGATGATGGGTTTGGCACAGCTGAGCCCTCACGGAGCCGGCGCAGGGCCCTCTGGAGACCCTCTTTGATCTGCGGTGAGTGTAATCGATTAACACAGCAGGTCAGTGTCTCTTATTGAGCACCAGCTGTGTACCTCACTCAGCCCGGGGCTCAGACATGTTCCCCCACCGTCCCGGCTGCACTGGGCCTCCTCATAGCTCCCCTGGCTCCAGCTTGTCCCGCTGTAGGCCGGACCAGGGCCACCCTCCAGGGATTGCTGCTGCCCAGACGCCTGAGCCTGGCGTGCGAGGCCCTCCTAGGCCAATGTCACCCCATAACCAGCCCTTCATCTATTCAATTGTTTGTTCCAGCTGCAGACACTCGCGGGGCATCTTCCGTGTGCCAGCCTTGAGGAGTACAGAACCATAGGCTTAGAAGACCTGACCTCCTGCTCTCCCACCACACTGGGCCCAGGCTACCCAGGTATCTCCAGGTGACCTCTGGAGGCCACGCCCCCTCCTTGGCCTGTAGATGGCCATAAGGGAGCTTCCCCTGTGGCCCAAGCGCAGGCTCTCGGGAATGGTGTCTGCAGAGCCCTCAGCCGGGGCCTGCTCACCATGGACCACCCCAGAGTTCACCTGCCTCTGGTGCCACTCCCTGGGCCCACCTGTCATGCCTGAGCAATTGGAAGGTGACCCCAACTCCCCTCAGCGCCAGGCTCCCCCTAGGAAGCCCCGTCGGCCATGCCGGCCCTTGGTGCCTCCCGGAGGCGGTTCCCGGTGAAGTGTCACGGGGCAGTCACTCTCGCCACCCTCTTGCCCCCAGGCCTCCAGAGCCCCTGCCCGCCAGCGGTGCTCCCAGAAGCCCCACACCAGGCCCTATCCTCAGCAACCGTGAGAGGTGGGCCCATTTCACCCTCTCTGTGTCCCTTTGGTGGGTGCCGTGTGACTGTCCCATTCTGCAGGTGAGGAGATGGGGGCCCAGGGGCCTTGCTCAGCATCACACATGGCGTGAGCCTTGGCAGCGAGGCTCCTTCTGTGCCACCGTCATCCGCTGCCCTGCCCAGCTTCCTCTCGCCTCCACCTCGGCTCCTCCAGCTGCTGGCTTTGGAAGGCCTGGCGTTTGGGGGCTGGATGGGGGGTGGATGGATGGATAGATGGATGGACGGTGGGTGGATGGATGGATGGATGGATGGATGGATGGATGGATGGATAGATAAATAAGTGGATTGATGGATGGATAGATGAATGGATGGTGGATGGATGGATAGATAAGTGGATTGATGATGGATGGATGGATGAGTGGATGGTGGATAGATGGATAGATAAGTGGATTGATGGATGGATAGATGAATGGATGGTGGATGGATGGATAGATAAGTGGATTGATGATGGATGGATGGATGAGTGGATGGTGGATAGATGGATAGATAAGTGGATTGATGATGGATGGATGGATGAGTGGATGGTGGATAGATGGATAGATAAGTGGATTGATGATGGATGGATGGATGAGTGGATGGTGGATAGATGGATAGATAAGTGGATTGATGATGGATGGATGGATGAGTGGATGGTGGATAGATGGATAGATAAGTGGATTGATGATGGATGGATGGATGGATGGGTGGGTGGATGGTGGGTGGATGGACAGATAAGTGGATGGATGGATGGATAGGTGGATGAAGTAGGAGGGTGGGTGAAGTAGATGCAATGGAACATCATAAACTGCCGAATTCTAGACACGAGGGATCGCCATCGTTGCCTTTCTCGGCCATTGAGTCATTGTGTGACCAGACAAGTCACCTGCCCTCTCCAAGCATCAGTTTCCCCACCTGCGAATTGAGGCTCAAGACTCAGGTCCTACTGGGTGTGTGTGTCCTGCAGGCTGGCAGGAGCCACCAGGAGAGGAGCAGGCTAGCGAGCAGGCTGAGCCGGGCAACCTGGGACCCCAAGAAGACCTTGGAGATGCAACTCAAACCCCGCCGGCCTGCAGCCTCCATCCATGTGGGGCCCCCGGGCCCATGGCTTTACTTCCCTGAAGAATTAACTGGGCTTCTCTCTGTCAGGTGCCTGGAAGGCTAACACCTTCGCCTGTCAGCCCTGGGGACTCAGCTCGTGGGAGGGAGGCAGGCCTTGGAGGGAGGCTGACGTGAGATTTTTCTTCATATGTCGCCGTACTGTTTAACTTGTTCTGACAGCGTGAGAGAGTTTGGCAAATAAAAAATTCTAATAAAAAAGATCTAAGATCTTAGCATTGCCGGTACTTATTGAGCTCCACGGTGACATAGTTGATGTTATGATTGTGACAATCACTGATATCTTGTATCCTGGCTGATGGAGTCCACTTTGTGACGCCCATCCAGGCCCGTCCCCAGCCTCTGCTTGCACACCCTGGGCCGGGGGCTCGCTCCTTTCTCAGCAGCCCACTTCATCCTAGGATAGTTCTGGTGACTTTGGACTTCGAGCGCAAGGTTCTGGTGTGCCCCTTGTGCCAGGCTCTGTGCTGGCCTTGGGGACACAGAGAAGGCACCCTCATGGCTGCAGTTGAGGTGCTCTAAGCTGTCTTTCTAGAGAGAAGTGCGCGGCCACAGGAGGGGCCCGAGCTGGCTTCTGCACCGGGCATTGACACTGGAGGAGAGACATCCTTGGCCAAGCAACTTGCTTTCTGGAAGCTTCCCCTTCCTGCCAGCCAGAGCCCCAGATGTGGCCGTGGGGTTGGCACATGACCTGCTTGGACCCGGCCACTTCCTGCCGGGGCCGGGCCCTTTTTCTGGGCTCTCTCTGGAGACTGCAGGGAGCTGTCAGGCCCTTCAGCAGATTTGAAAGCTTCTCGTTTTACCCTCAAGGGACCTCTGAGAGTCAGGTGCTATTAACACCCCCACTTTGCAGATAGATGAGAAAATGGAGCTTTCGGAAGATGTGGCTGCCAGGTCCCCAAGGAGCCTTCTGGCAGTTTGGGGCCCTGGCTCAGGCCCCTACCCTGTTTGGCCTCACTGCTCGTGGCAGACACCTCCAAGGTGACCAGCTGTCTAACAAAGACCCCCCTGGAGGCCCCTAGCTCAATGCCAGAGGCTTCGCTCCCCGAAAGTGGCCTCCCTGGGGACCCCCCAGGTAACCGCATCTGTCCCTCTGCTGGGGCTGCCATGTCCCCTGAAGCTGGTTGCGGATGGGGCCCTGGTGCTCATCGGCGCCCCACCCCAGCGCCTCGCATGGAGAGTGAGCCGGGGAATAAGGGCGGCTTCGTTAGACTCCCCTCCACGGGAAGGTATCCTTACTCCCGCTTTGCGGTGGGGTGGAGAGGTCGAGGCCCAGGGCTGCCCCGCTGACTTCCCACCTGATGCACGTGCTCTCCGCCCGGCCGTGCTGCCTTCTGGGTCACCGAGCACCAGACACGCTCAGAACGGGAGAACGAGCGACGCAGATCCAGAGGGTCCGGACGCCTGGGCGCCGCCTGCTCCGTGCAGACGGAGGAAGCCGGGGCTGGTGCCCCGAGCCGGTGCCGCGGGCGGCTTCGGCCTGCTGGCCCAGGCGGCCCTCTCCAGCCTGAGGCCTGACCCTGCCTCCGAATTGTCTCCCCCTAGCATCCAGGGAACATGCCTGGAGGGAAGGGTTAAATAAATTAGAGCAACTTCCTGCCCACGATTTGTGAATCTGACTGTAGCAGACACGTGCTTGAGAGAGATTTTTTTTTTTCCTTTTGTTTGGCTTTGGTCTTTTTTCAGATAGGAAAATGCAGAAGAACCTTTGACGAGTTTGAGAAAATAAGCTAAGAACGTTCGCCCTGACCCTGCGAAGCTTGGCCGACTTCCCGTGCTGGCCCTGGCTCCGGAGTGTCCCCGTGAGGCAGGGAGGCAGCCTGGCCCCGCCCGGAGCCCTGGAATGTTTGTGCTGGAACCTGGACCCTGTGGGCTCGAACTCGGCGAGATCTATTGTTTTCTTCTCGCGTTTTCCCTTCCCAGAAAGGCTCTGATGAAAACAGAAATTCATCCTGGGAGCGAACAGGACTGGCCTAAGCTTGGATTCTAAGTCAGGGTACCGGTGATGCTGCTGTAACAAGGTGACCCCAAAACAGAGCGGCTCTGGCTGCTGCTATGGAGCCCCCGTCCGCACAGTGAGGCGTGGTCCGCCAGGTGTAGCAGGGCAGTGGGAGGCCTGGGCACACGCGTCCGGACCTGGCCGGGACTGACTCGTTGCGAGGCCGTCCCGTGAATTGCAAGAGGCACAGCGGCATCCGTGGCCTCTACCCACTAACGCCAAGGGCAGCCACGCCCGTCGTGACAACCGAAAATGTCCTCTTACATCATAGATGTCCCCTGGGGGCAAAATCACTCCTAACTGAGAACCAGTGGGCCCCGTCAAGGGCCCCAACACCACAGCATCCCCAGTGCCCAGGCAGGAGGACGGCTGGGTTGGGCTGGGGTGAGCCCATTGAGCTTGGCCGTGGGGACTTGGGGGAGGCGGGGCTGCCGCTGGGCCCTGCCCCACCAGTTCTCACACCGGAGGACAGAGATCCGAGCTCTCGTGCGGGGTACCCTAACTGCTTCCTGATGGCGCCTGAACAAGAAGGAAAGCAGCCGTGTGGCTGTGCCGCGTTGAATTTCTTCCCCCCAGAGAGGTGTGCCCATGTCTTAAGCCCAGAATCCACGAGGACGACCTTATCCAGAAGCAGGGTCTCTGCAGCTGAGCTGGATGAGGTCATGCCGGGGTGGGTGTGCCCTCTCTCCAACGGCCAGTGTCCTTATAAGGAGAGAAAAGGACACAGCCGCACGGGAGGAGGCCGCGGGAAGAGGTCAGAGTGATGCGGCCACTAGCCCAGCAGGGCCTGGCAGAGGCAGGAGGTCGCCTCCCCCAGGCCCCAGCTAGGCGGCCCTGCCAGCACCCTGACCTCAGACTTGCAGCCTGCAGCCCTGGGGGAGAGTAAACTTCTGCTACTCCAAGCCACGCAGCTTGTGGGCCTCGGAGGGAGTAGGGAGCCTGCGCAGAGGTCCAACACCTCAACACCTGTCTGCGCCTCCGGGCCGCAGGCTTCCTGGAGCCCCGCCCCCAGCCTGCTGGGCTGGCCCCGTGGGTCCGGCTTTAGCGTGTCATCGGAGCCTGGCTGCACAGAGTGGAATACGAAGCTGTCAGACCCTGTGCCTGGGAGTCACTGAGGCAGCGAGACAGGCCATGGTCTCACACAGCCACAGACCTCCACAGTGGAGCCTGGGACGCCCGCAGAGCCTGGCGCCAAGCGGGGCTGGGGGCGGGCAGCAAACGGAGGCCCCTCCCGCCCTGCTGCTGGCTCCCCTCAGACCTTGGGCTGCCTCGTCTAGCAAACGGGGGGAATCAAATTTGCGCGGGACAGGACGAAGCCTCTCTAAACGAGCACTGTGAGCAAACGTGCACGTCAAATGGCCACTCACACACATGCTTATTCACACGGGTCATGTGACAAACATCCACGACGTGCCACTGCCCGGGTGACGCTCGAGCTCCCGGGCTTCATCCTGATCTGATGCCCTGTGCCCTTGGGCGCTTCGCCACGTCTCGGGCCTCCGTTTACCCCTCCGAATGAGTGACTTGGCTCTGATTTTCTTAAGGCCTTCCCAGCTTTAAAAGTTCTAATTAGGTAGGCTCCTGCTCAGGTGAGCTGGAATTGTGAGCTATTATTATGCAAGAACACAGCAGTACAAAGATACTTTCCAAAACGGAGCAGAACAAAAGATTAAGTAGATGGCATCAGGCTCCGCTATTATTCTTAGAGAAACTATTTTAAAACCAAAGTTCTCTTCGCCGCAGCGCTCATAGGGATTGCCCTGGGAAACCGCGCTCGGCTGTCACAGAGGTCTATATCGACAGGGCGTGTTATCACTCAATTTCTAGGAAAGAGGAGTCATTAGATGCCTCGTTCCAGATATCGTTTCAATCACAGCAGAAAATCCACGTACGTGGATCCTGGGAGGGAGCAAGTGCGGGGAAGTCACGCGTCGTGGCTGCAGAGTGGCCGTGGCAGCGGGAAGCCCAGGCGCGGCCCGTGAGGCTGGCACTGTGCCCCTTGCTCTGGGAGGAGGTGAAGGGAAGGCGGCTTAGG